AGAGAAGACAACAAAGGATAGTGTTCTAGAATGAATTAAGTTCCACAGAAAATTATTATTCTGGACATGCTTTTATGCATGATTACCAGTGAATGAATAGGAAACAGCTTTTATTCTACCTCATCCAACAAACAGCCTTAAGAGACAACACACAGAGCATGAACAATTGGCTGGATCTTTGTTTCCTTATAATCTATGACCTAGAAGAAAAATATTTATCTCACAAAATGTCCCTCAGTTGTCTTTCAGAGCAAAAATTCAAATTTTGCTGAAGTTCAAAGACCTCAATGATTGGAAACCTGTTTGACAGTGAGAGCAGCAGATTTGATTCCCCCATGTACTGGATGTAGGTGATCAGGTTGTGATAGTGAGAAGGGTGGCCTCTAGGTGAGGATCTAGCAGCCCTGTAATTAATTATTGTCCTGTAACTGCCCTAGTAAACAATGGGAGTAGTCACAATGATTAGGTTATGAAAACCAGCAGATTCTGTACAAGAACAAATAATCACCTTGCAAGAGTGAAGACAAAGGTTTGGTATGGATGACTGTGGAGGACATTTGCTCCATGGACCTGACAGAGCCTGCACATACACACCACAAAGCCCACGGGCCAGCAATGTTTTGGAGAGGGAAAACATTTCAGGGTAACAGTAAGGCATGTGTCAATGAGTGGCTCGGCCTGAAAGGTTTATTCAGCCTTCAACCAAGAGCAAGTTCCTTGATCTAACCTTCAGTTAAAATCTGAGAGTTAACTGTAACCACCTCAAAGCCCTGCCAGAACTTCCATGAGCTGTACAGTCCAGGCTGGACATTCTTCACATTCTAGCTGGGGAAAAATAAGAAAATCCCTCAATTCTTTGTGCAGAAAAATTATTTGAACCTTAACTTAATTCTTTTTCAGATACTTAGTCCTCAGTGTGACCAACTGCCACATGCTTATAGGGCTTTTTTTTTTCAATATTAAGAGAGCTTAGTTGTTTTTTACATGAATATTAACTACTTTCTCAAATATTTTTCCATTTCATTTCAACTATATATTCTGAACCTTTAACTGTTTTTTTTTCCCATATATTATGGGAGACTACAGTACACTGCAGTTATTACAGCAGTATTTTACAGTAAACCAGTAAATGTGCCTTCCTTTTAACTTACTTATAAAACCTATAAAACATGAGTCAACCCAATTTCAGAGGGACTTCAACATTGCTCCAATTGCACTGAAAGCAGAAGCCTTCCAGTGGCCTTGTTTCAGAGCTCTCCTTATGCTCTCTTGCCTGCTTTATGCTGCATGCAGAGGTGTAAGAGAATCTGGGCAGTAGAAGTTCCTCCTAATGCCAGTACCTGCAGCTTGGGGCCATCCATTTGAGCCCAACCATGCTGGCAGCTTCCCATGCAAAGTGGCTTAAATGGGAGGAGGAAGCCCTTTGACCAAGACACACATCCAGCAGTGCAGAAGCAAGAGAAAGCAGAAGGACCCAGCCATACAGGAAAAATCTCCACCAGAAAATTATGATGGCAAAAAAACCCAAAATAACCTCATCTTCTTTTTTCTTTAAAAAAGTGTGTGCTGAACAGGGACCATAACACTGCCCATTAGCTGGCAGCTCTCTCAGAAACAGCTGTCACCAGCTCTTCTCAGGGCAGCAGTGCTGTTAGAGCTGTTTGGGCTGAGGTCACAAGCAGGGCAGGGTTTACAGCACTTAAAACTTGCTGGTACAAGCACACTCGTGTAAATCATTTGACCATATGTAAGGAGCAAGTTAATAAAGCTCAAAGTATGTTGTTAGCAATTCCCAAACAGAAAAATAGTCTGAATTCAGATTACTATTTGCTATCAGTACTCCACTGGGGGCCTTGTGTTTTGATGCTATTCCTTATGTCCTGTTTCCACCAGTCACATTAGTTCAGTACTTCCTCTTCTTTGCCTTACATGGATGTGATGAAACACAGAGCCTTTTAATCTCAGCCACTACACAAATGGAACACACGCTATACACAAATAAAAAGAAAGATGTCCAAAAAAAGTGGGTCAAAGCTGCCAACAGCTTTTCACCTACTGATTAAGTACCGAAAGAAAAATCACATTGTAGGCTCATCCTCGCCAAATACTTGTGGTTCTTATGTAATTTAGAACAGCTAAGTAGCTATCTCCCCTCCTCCAAAATTCCATAAGAACACTGATTTTTATGGGCCAAAACCATGTCTCACACAATTAGTGTGGTGCTGGAGTTACATCTACACTAGCTGAGTGTCTGGCTCTTAACAGCATCTCAGTTTGCCACTTAAATCTGTGGAGTACCAGGAGCTGTGTCCATGATAGCCTTGATGTATTACACATCTGAACAGAAATTAAGAAGCTTGTCTATCCATGGCCAACCAAGATGACAACACTGTAATGTTCTTTTAACTTCCCTGTGGAAAACTGCAAGGATATTTAAGAATAATTACTTTTTCTTAAAAGTAATTTGCAGCTAGCTGGCGCTAATATTCTGTCACCTCCACTGTGTTAAATGTTTGAATTAGGAGTTTTTCATTTCCTTGTGGAAAAAAATTAATAGAGTACCACAAGCAGGACAGTATTTCTTGTAGTAACATATGCAAAAATCATTACTGCCTGTTCCAGCCTCTGCAATTACTGCTATGTATTCCTGAAGAAGCCAAGTGTTTTCACTCTCTTTGCTAAGGGGATTTAGAAAGACACATGGATGATCTGGGATACAGGAGCACTGAGAAGTCTGGATAAAATGAGATTCTCCACTTGAAAATAATGACACTCACACAGGAAGTGATCCTCTTGTCACATCAATCCTTTTGCTTCCACCAAGGGAAAAAGAATTAATTTTTTTTCTGCAGATTATCTTGCAGGCTATCTTACCAGAAAGAAACTTCACAAACAGCAAACATGGACCACAGAAACTCACAGAAAGTATGGCCTATGGCCCAAGGAGTACATGGTTTAAATAAACAGAGTGCACTTAGAAGAGAGCTTGCCTCCATCCTTAACAATTTTTAATAAAGTTTTTACTGTAATGCCTTATCTGGGGTTTTCATCAGTTTTCAACATTCCTATGGAACAAACTTTTCTATCCGTGCCAGGAGAAATATTAAACAAAATAAAAAAATTCCACTTATACTACCAGGTCCTGCCCATAGAGCAGAAACTGCAAGGTAGTGGTTTTACTTTTGTGCTATTCCTGCTCTGTCTGCACTCCCTGGAAGTCTCCTGCAGCCAAAGACAAGTTCTGGTAGCCAGGGATTTATGAGTTCACTACCAAAAGCCAGAGCCAAGCCAGAGGCATGGACAGCCTCCATCCCCCCCAGGTTTTTGGGCCCTAGCAAGGGAGGGCACAGAAGCCCTTCAGCTTCTCCCCTGAGAAAAAGAAGAATGGTAACTTTCCTAAACAAAGAGAGTGTGAGGTATCTGCAGCATAGGCAGGCCCAGTAATTTTGGTTGTTTAACCCAAACATATAATCCAGTGTAATGTGACTTCCTTGTCAGCCCAAAGGTTTAACTGAGGTTTACACTACACCACCTCCTGCAGATTGCAAGGTCATTTGTAATTGCCCTGGTGAAAGGGGCTGCAGGAATGAAAGCCAGCAACTGAATGCTTGTTTATTCTACACACAGTGCTGGAGACTGAAGATTGTTCCATAACCCCTTCTCCTAACAACATATGGGGAAAACCCTCAAAAAGGACTTCTTCACCCACCTACTTAATTCTTTACCCCCCAGCTTAATTCTTCAGCCCCCTATTCCTCCCTATGTTTTGAAGCAGCAGACAGGAAAGAAGGAAAAAAGTACTAATCAAGTTGATGCTTAACATAAGAAAACATCATGGACAAAGCACAAACCAACAAGGGAATATAAAAAGCACTCAAGTATTTCACACCTTGATGAAAATCCATACAGACTAGTCCTCATCTAAGCTTAACCTTAAAGCAAGCTTATTAAACTATCTTTCAGGGGGTTTTATCCCAATGGAAAGTCTTCCTGAAGTCTGGTAACCTTGCAATGGAATTTTACATAGAGTTGTTTTCAGATCACAAGAATACTGAAGGCAGCACAGACATTACTTCTCTGCTGTAAAAGATTCTCACTCCCTATATGTTGGATAACAGAAATTGCAAAGGTGTTTTCATTTTTTAACATAAACCATCTTCTAATAATCTTTTTAACTAGAACAGACCTCAGCAGTGCTCATTACAGATACCCTTGCCTCATGTCACAGCTGAGCACAGCTCTTTGTCAATGCCAGCAACATTTCATCATTTGAAGATTTTTCTAAACCTCTAAATGAAAGGACCCAAAAACAAAGCTAAAGGCAATCCAAAACCTCCCATGAATTATGCTTTAATTTCAGTCGCGGAAGGAAATGCCCTTTCAACAATTAAACCAAAGTAAAAAAATCCCTTCTTACATATTTTCCAGTGTAAATAGTAGTCATTATATGTCATTTGACCATGAATTCCAACCATCTAAAAAGCATTACTGGGTGACCAAAATGCCACTGAGGAGAAAAAAATAACAGATAACAAGACTTCCTTTGGACAAAAACTACAATTTAGGTGGTTACTTCTGGACAAAATTGTAAGGACGTTCAAATCTAATTTAAATAACATTTTAGAAAAAAAAAAAATCTACACCCCCTCCCGGCCCCCCAAACAGCAAACCCAGAAAAACATTTGGTTTAAATATATATGCACCATTTCTCTGCCCCCTGGTGTTACAACTTGAAAACTGGGTTTCCTTTCTTTTCTGTGGGCTCAGTGCATTATACATTTACCTTTGTGTGAATTCTGTCCATGTTTTTTTAAATGGTACATGATGTTCTTCGGGTTTGTTCTTATATTCCACTAACCAAACAAAAATTTATTATAAATTGGTCGTGGTTACAAGATTTTTCCATATTAGTGCAATCCTGGAATTACAGCCATGTATCATCTTCACTTTAAACGTGATTGCTGCTTTTTTCACCCTGATTTCATTTGTGGAAAACTCACCTCATCATCATCCATCAGATGTTCCTTCGCAAATTCATACAATTCCAGCTGGAGCGTGGTAATGTTGTGGTATCGAACGGCCTCCTATCAAAAAACACCCAAATTTCTGTAACTTTAGGGTAGCAAGACAGGCCAGTGCCATCACATGCCTCCTGAAACCATCCCAGGGAGGTCACACCCAGACCTAGCAAAGGCAGATCCCAGGCAGGGCTCACAGTGCTTGAGAAAGGAAACAGCAGAACAGCAAAGAGCCCATTCCAAACTCTTCTGTGGATCTTCCTAAGCACAGGCTTCCTCACTGCAAGAACAAAGCACTCTCCTCCTTCTCATGTTTCAAAGCACTGGCGGGCCTGAGAATAAGGCATGAGACTGCCAGGGCTGAGCAGCAGCCTGTGCCTGCATTCCAGTGGGCTTTGGACAGGAGGAAGGCTCTGTCTCCCAGTGCTGGCTATGGCAGCAGGCAGTTCTGGGAAGGAGACACACGGAGCTGTTTTGCATGATAATGACTCACCAGCCCAGCCTGAGCCCGGGCTAGGGAAACTCTGCAAGGTCACTCACCTGTGCCTCCTCACATCCCCACTATGTGCCCGGACAGCACCGGGTAGCTCAGTCTCACACTTTCACATTTGTGAGTACCAACTGCCAACTACTTTGATTATTCCATTTAACTCCTCTTGGGGAAGAAAACAGGAGACTCCCTCTTTCACAAGAACATCTAAAGGTCAGTGCCAGAGCCAAATGCTGCTGTCACCCCATTATCACTTTTAGAAAATAAACCAGAGGCATTGTGGTTTTCGGGGCAAGTGATTAGGACAGCAATCAACTTCTGTTTATAGCTACATGGATCAAAGTACAAGAAAATACAGCTGTGTGCATTTAATATTTTGTATTTTAAAATCAAATTATCTGTAGTCCCCAGCTCCAGAAGTTATCAATGAAACAGTCAGAGTGCATGTGTAGGGCCCTTGTTCCACCCTCTCTGCACTGGTATGCCAAATGTGTCTGCGGTTTGCAGTTTCGTACTGTTGCTACCCCTCACTCCCAGCACCACCAAACATTGTCTCCAATATGGTTACAAAGCACCATTCTGTTCCCAAAAGCAGTGACAAAGGAGCAGTTCCCTTCCCCTGTGAGCTCAGACTTGCTGCTGCTGCTGCCTGAAAGAACCAAATGCATTTTTGTTGCCTTTTGTCTCAGTTGGCCCTGCAGGGCAGGCCCGGGTTCCCACTGTGCCAATAAAGTGTGTGCTCTAAGAGGCATGACTAGAAGGCACTAAATTTAATTTGTGGAACATGTATTGCTAATGACTAACTGGTTGTACAGCCCATACGACTGTGCCTAAGCAGTCGGTGAGTGTCACAATTTAGCTGCGTGACTTAAATCCTGGTAACAAGAAACGTTAGAAAATCCAATTTGGTGTCACAGCCCAGGCTGTAAAATTTCCTTGGACATGGAAATTTAAGAACAGCATGGAAACCCATTTTTAAAATAGTTTTCCAAAGCCAGATGACAACTATTGCTGGATGGACTGGTATCTTCTTTGCAGCAAGCATTTTAATTTAGATAATTGGATGAAATGCAGTCCTGAGCCTCTTTCCATCCTCATCCACCCAACTGCCTTCTAAATGGAGTAAGTGGAAAGCCAGTTTAGCTGGAGTTACCATATTCAGACACATTCCAATGCCCACAGAACCTGAAATAACAAGCGAGTGGGCAACTATGTGTTGGCAAATAATGATTCACAAAAGCCTGAATGTCACTCAGAGATTTCATCATCACAGATTTCAGGGGCCAGCTGCTTTATTTATAAAGGTACATAAAGACATAAATATGCCTAAGTGTCAGAGAAGTACCAGCATGGGTTTACTTCTCATCATATATTATATGCTATCATAGTATACTTCAACAAAAAGGGAAGAGTTACAATGGCATTCACTGTTTACATGACACACTGCACCTCTGTGTGCAACTTTCTATATGGCTTTAACAAAACAGGACTCCAGAAACAGAAGATATCTCATATTTTCCCACTGAATTTCAGAGAAATATTTGAATGTGTCTAAAAGGCATTTTAGGTAATCCACCTACCGATCTGGGCTGAAAATCCTCCTCTTTAAGTCCCCACTTGTCTTTGTGGTACTGGTAATAGACCATGTTCTGTTTCATTACTTCATCCTTCTCGTCAAACAGAAGGTAACTGGCAGCACAAGAAGCTGCATTCTTCATGTCATTCACTAATTGATAAACACACACCAAAAAAATCCAGGTAAGGTAAATGAACAAATTCCTGCTATTATCTAAGCTCTGGAAAAAACTCAAATGGAAACACAGCCCATACTCTACCTCCTCACCAGCTGCACAGAGGAAAAAAAATTGCTCCCCAGAAACTGTACGCTATTTTTGCTCTGAAACACATAAGGCCATGATTCAAAAATCATCTCATCATCAACCTCTGATTGTTTTCTATGAAAATCCTAACCAAATGCTCCAGGTATCCCAGTATCAGCCCACATCTTGGTGAAACGCACTGGGGCATTTATTTAAGAAACAAAAAAAAAATATATATATTAAACCCCTCCCAACTTCTCTGTACTAGGATTGATAAAGAGGGAAGAGTCAGGGTGTAAGGTGTGTAGTCAAACAACACAAGCAAGAGTCATTAATGGCTTGATGCTACATGGCTGATGTGTCTTCCCTTTGATATTGGAGCCTGCAGGAACAGCTGTAAGGGCTACATGTGTTCTTTACAGTGCAAGCAGCTCCTCAAGAAACCACAACTTTCACTGATTAATTTACCTATCAAATATGTCATCACTGAGCACTGAATACTACAATTTCTTTTAAGTGGTCCCCTCTTTCTTCAAAATCCATTTAGCCCTATTCTAACAGGATGATAAGAATCCACTAGGAAAAAGCAAATAGTATGAAATACTCTGTAGGTTTGTCTGTGGAAGTAATTCTGTCCCATGTCTGTTAACTACAGCGATAACAGGGAGCAAAAGACACCAGGAAACTTAAGGATTTTCTGTCCCAGAATAGTTTAAAATTCAGATTCTGGAGGCCACTACTTACATTCTAAAGCATAAAATTAGAGGAAAAATATTATGAATGGAATCTGTCCCCCATCATCCAACATCAGTGTTGTTTAAGCACAAGAAATTACTACTTACATTTATAATATGCAAACTGCAAGTAATGGTACATGGTGGCCACAAATTTTTCAACGACAAAGCCTCCTATAATAGGTGTCAGATTGCTCTCACACTGCACTTTGCACGCAAGGACTTCAATATAATGGTCTGGAAGGAAGAAAACAGCAACAGAGGATATGGATAGCACAGAGCAAATTGTGATAACCACTCCCATTAGTCACCCATTAAAATCTGGCCTTATAACACTCTCCTGGGTCCTGTGCCTCTGGCTCTTGCTGCTTGGAAGTACTGAGAATCTACAACTCCATCTGAAGTATGAATCAGTGTTGGTACTAGGCCCTTCTGTAAAAATCAGTGTGGCTGACTTTTAAGGCATCAGAGCTGGAATTCCAGAGAGCTGAGCACTTAGGATTCACTGACACCTACAGGCAGTATGTGGTTGGTGGGTTTTACAGAGTATTACACAGTACTGCATTATGTCCTAGCTGTAAACTTCACAGTGCTTTCTCTCCTTTTCTAAATTTTGCAAACCTTGGCAAGGGAATTACATTATTGCACAAAGAAGGTCCCCGTGGTGCTGAGTACAACTGTGTCACAGACAGATACAGCAGGTGATTGCAAAATAAACCTCCAGAGATGGCTGCCCAGAGTTTGGATGTTTTAAGGGAGAGGAAAGAGAAGAATAGGGTGCTCACAACTGAATAACTTTCAGCCAGGAACATGTAAGTTCACAAGCTTACCCTGTCAAAAAATTGCTATATATAATGCAGGACTATTGCTATATATAATATAGGACTATAGGTGATTTTATCTTCAAGAAAATGCATTTCAAGAAAACCTTCCAGCAAAAAAATTCAAGCATTTTCCAAATATATCACATTCATCAACAGCACAGAAAATAAATATTTTAAAGTCTTGCTTTCCCTCTAAGCCACATTTGGCAGGTGAAAGCAAGTTAGCTAAGCTTGTGCAGCAAATTTTTGACCAAGACAAAAGAACTTTTCATCCCTGACAATTCCTAACATGAAGAACACTGAGGTTAACTAAATATAACTGCTGAAACTAACTAAAAATAACTGGCCAAATGAAATTCCCAGACTCATCTTTTGCAAGAGCAGTGGAATGTCCAGACACAGTAGTGCTCAATTCCAGCCAGCAGTTAAAGCCAGAGATGCGAGTCCCTCAGGGAAGTGATCCCATGCAATGAGGACAGCTGGCTTCCTAACACAACTCACTGCTCAGGGATAAATACATGCCTAGGGCAAGACCCAAACACTTCTGGTGAACACTTACTGCTACATCTGCTTCCTGCAGACCCTTGGAGGCAGAATCTCTCCCTGCAACACGAGCACAATTCAGCCCAGGCAGTGCAAATAAATTTGAGTGTTCTTATCTCAAGAGTGAAATACCTGAAATGCATGAACATGGCCATGGTGACATCATGCAGTAATTCCTGCCTTTCCTTCCCATCACTGCTGCTGGGAATTGTCCCTCCCTTCCAAGAAGGCAGAGGGAGGGTGATAGTAAGTGTCAATCACAGCTAAGCACAGACACTACTCTTCACAGTGGCTTGTGGATTGTCCACAAGAGGACCCTGATTTGTGCTTCACTCTGTATTTGTTACCCTAGACCCCTGCATGTTTTGCCCAAGAGCAAGTCAAGGCTTGAGAAATAGCCTGCAATAGCTATTCCATGTCAGCTGCTCTGGTGGATACCAGCTGCACACCATGAGAAACTGAAGCCACTCACATATAAACATACTTCACAAAAGCCTCCCCTCACCAAGACATGTTATGGCTTTAGGACAAAAAGTTGGAATAATTTTCCTTAGGGCAACTTGAAACACAAAAAGTGCAAGAGAATTTCTAAGTTTATTGAGAAAATATGCAGGTGTTCTCCACAAAAATATTTCCAACAATACTGAGATGTCAGAGCACTGGAGAAATTACTTGTTTCTTTCGCTGCCAAAGAGCATAGGAAATATGCATGTGCTATTTTGACAACAATCAAAAAGGCTGTTGTCCCTTTTACTTTGCAAAGCAATGGGTTTTTGGTTTGGTTTTTTTTTTGCTATACACACAAAATATAGATGTTACCTACTAGTAAAACTCTAATGCAGGAAAGATTAAAAATAGCCAACAAAACCTTGTCATACTTACGAGAAAGGAGATGCAGATTACCAGACCTACACAAACCAGAAAGCTGATTTCAAAGGCAAGCTAACTAACCACTGAGCCTCAAAGTGATACTGAAATGATAGTCAAGAGACCTGGCTGGATGACCACTGCTACCCAGATGGAGCACCTGTTATCTACATTTCTATGTTACTCTGACACAGAACTTCCATGCTAATGTAAGATCTCTGTTCCGATTTCCTGATAGACCTCATTTATCTTACTGATGACAGCATAAAGTAAACCAGAGTTAAACAGTTTTCAGTGAATCTAATAAACTCCCATTGGCCTAAACTGAGGAACAGGACTTGGGTAACCAATCCTATGAATAAACTAAAATGCACTTTGGGGACATCTTTCCTTCATGTTTCAAGGTAACCACTGACCTGCAATGGAAAGATAGAAGTCTTTAAAGTCTGTGATCTCTCGGGAGCCTTCGCAGGCTGCTATGCAGTCGTCGTAGGCTTTGAAGAACTCGGGAAGAGCCAGTTCCATGTCCGAGATGGACGTGCGCCAGTTGTCCCCATTGTACGCTCTCACCGCCCTGACAAAGAGATTCTGGAAAATTGGCAGCAATGAATCGGCAGTAACTGACCCGTGAGAAGTGCTGTGTAAACTCCAAACACAGCAAATGATGTCTCCAAATTTCTAGATGAGCTGCTCTCCAGATGATGTGAGAACAAACACGGGAGACTAATGGATTTTAACAGGTATTTCCTAGGGAGCAGAGTATGTCATTCCATTTCCAATCAAAAGAAAAGCCTGCTGGAAAGAAGCAGCAGTGTGAGGCTGCGACAGAGGTTTTCAGTGTAATCTCAAAGCCAAATGTCTGAGCTATTTTCAGCTGTGCCACTACAGCACTCATGAATTTGGATAACTAGGCACCTGCTTAGCTCCAGCAGCAATCTGCATGTAGCAGCTTTCAGGTATGCCACTCTCTGATTTGCTGTGACTCATTTATGGAACAATGAAGTGCAGGAGAGGTGAGAATTACTGAATGCACCAGGAAAGCAGAACAAAGAGGACTGAGATGACAAAAAGAGATTAAGAGCTGAGAACACATAAGCAAATGAGATCCCTGAATCTCACCCAATAAGAGGAGTAATAGAACAGTTCCAGAAGAGCAGACTCCCAAATAAAAAGCATACCTCATAAGGCTTTATCTCCAAGTCTTTAATATGCTCCTCAGCATCAGGTATGCTCTTATAGTAGGCCATATTCCTTTGCATCATTTCATCATCTGGATGCTTCAGAAGAAATGTGTGAGCTGCTGCAATAGCTTTTGGAAGATTATTAGCCTAAACAGAGATAGGGAAAAGAAGGTGTTAAAGAAAAAGATTACCTGGAGAAAACAAAACAAAACAGTTCAAAGGTTCCCAGTTTTCTCAATGACTTTTCCTGCATTCTGTATACTCACAAATTTACTTCTACTGAGAGCACAGCAGATACAATTGTACAGTAAAACTGATATAATTCCTCTCAGTTTTACTCCTAGAAGAGTGTGAACAATTTACTTAGAAGTCTATCATTTTTGCAGATAGAATAGATGACTGTTGTAAATCAAAAAGATTAGGTTTTATCCCTTGCTCCTCCCCTGTTCATAGAGCTGACAAGGCAAAATACCAGGGCTACTGGGAGAGATTAATCTCACAGCAAGTACTGATGCTAACCTATGGATAGTAGTTGGGAGTCATCACTGTTTGTATGTGTTTATGTCATTTATTTGCCTAGCAGCACAGAGGACATTATTAAAATAATGTATCTTCCTGGTGGTATTACAAAGTTAGATCATACTGCAGAGACTTGGTCAAAAATTGTGTCCTAAAGCAATTTTCTGTGCCCATTTTTAAACTAACTTTAATCCCTGTTAGACATACTTTGTGAAGTGCACATTTCTCATTTACAACTGTATGTACCAAACATGTATGTACTTCTGTGTGCGTGCCATTTATGATTTCTTAAAATTATACATATATATATACACCCACATGCATACTTTCATAAATTATATAGTATATATGCACATATTTAGGAAGAGTGAGAGAGAAAGCAAAAGTCTGGGGTATTTGTGAACTGTTAAAACCCCTTTTCTAGGCTGTTCAGGGTATTGATGTACAGGCAATACAGAGCTCCACCTCACATGTGAAACAGCTTCTGGCAGCACACGTTTGAAACCACGAGCAAGAATCACAGTGTGCACACGCACCCATCTGCTCACACCCATGAAAGGTGCCCTTTCATTTTGGAAAGGAACCTGAGAGATGGCTGCACAGGAGCCAAACTTCAACCCAGCCACTGCTGCTGTGCTGCTAGGAGTGTCCCAGCACTGGAGCTCTGCCAGCTGCCCTTCCTGGCTGTCCCAAAACTACGTGTTTCCAGTCCGCCCCGACTGTGCTAAATGCAAAGGGAAATCTCAGCTGCACTTTCGTCAAATGCCTGGTTTCTTCTGTGCTGTAGCTGTAAACCTGCTTCTTTGGTAGGCTGACATGTCTCATTTTTACTTAGGTCCATGATTCACTCTTGGTTTTAATTTTCACCTCTTAGAAAAAAAAAAATAAGAAGAGGTTTTGTAGAAACACACTCCTAAGTGAACTCAGTGGCTCTGAGAAAGCTCCCTCCAGAGGAGCAAGCAGCAGCGCGGGAACAGCTACTCCCAGAATCTTACAACGTGGCAAATTTCTCTGCGAGCCCACCTGAATACACACATAGTCACTCTAAAAAATTACATAAAGCACTTCCCTCCGGCTTCTCCCTCTACTATAAACACTGTTGGGGGGGGTGGAGGGGTGGGGGAAAGGACATTCCTTTCATAGAAACCACCAGCCAGGAAAAAGCCCTTTGGATGCAGCAGTTTGTAGCTCTAGAAGGCAAGTTTAGAACTCCCCAAGAAAGATAAGGGCTCAGCACTGAACTACAAATCCAGTACGAAACACAATATAAACAACAGTCACTAAAGGCAAAACCACCAAACTACTACTCAAACTTAATGCAAATGTGATTGAAAAAAGAGTTAAAAGGGAGGGGGAGGGATTCCTACAATTTCCCTCTCACACTCCTACCTGGCAGTTACCTGACTGTATTCAAAATGATAAGAAGAAATTATATTTGGTGTTATCTGTACAGTGCAAACTTTGTACGTGCCACAAGGGGGGAATTAATAGTTAAATTAAGATAAGAAGAGGAAACATTTGTGGTGATGTCATTTTGGTATCCATATATGGCTTTGAGAATTCGAGGAATTCCTGCCCTCTCAGTTAAAAGAAAAGGCAGAGGCTAAAATGTATCAAGTTCTTTTGTATGGTCTTAGGGAAGGCATTAGAGACCAGTGTGACGCTGTGCATGTGGATGCTGTTCTGGTTTCATGAGAACACATTTCCCTGGGAATGTTTGGAAAAACTGCTGAGGAAACAGCACTCCTAAAAACAGGGCACAGCAACAGTTTAGAAGATGTGTGTTTTCAAGAGGCAACCTCAAAATAATGCACAAGCATACAACCCTATGTAATGTATACTGGGATATGTTGGGAGTGAATCCCTAAAAGGGAAAACAACCTAACCAAAAAGCTCAGCTTGTTTCCTCCCCACAGAGAGGCCCTGTTAACCTCAAATGCAAATAACTGCAGGATCTGAGGGGATGGCAGGAGGGATGGACCTTGATATAGAGAACAGAAGGTGAAGATGAGAAAGGAGAAAATAATCAATAAGATCCTGGACAGTAGAATGATAAGCTAGAACAACAGGATGAAATCTGTTAAGAGAGAAGTGTGTCCCCAAGTCTTGGCTGACCCAAGAGCAAAAGGTAAATACCATTCCAAGGTATTATAGTGTCCCACTTCAGCAGCCAATTTTTGCTTCGTTCCTTCTGCAGCTGCAATGAAACTGGAGTTTTCCAGGCATGAGGCTATGGGCAAGTCACAGGCTGGGCCAGGCTGCTGCACTTGAAAGAACTGGACCAGAAACGAGCAAGTGAAGAAGGTGGACACGCTGAAGTAGAAGCAGTGAAGATCGTTTGCAATAGCAGAGCTGTGACATGAAGAGTCTGAAAAAGGTTCCAGAGAAGGTTAGAAAGTAAGGCAGATGGAAAGATGGAAAGAGAGGGGCAGGAATGACACAGCTACTGGACACCAGTGGCCAGATGTCTAGGAAGAAGTGGAAGGGCTGATTCTAGGGGATGAGCTGGATGAGTTGTAAAAAACGGGGTGAAGAGGGAGCTGGATGGTATGTGGGTAAGCAGGGGGAAAAACAAGGCACAGGCTAATCCCCCTGTGGGATACAGGAGTGGAAAGAAACAACTGAAAGGTTTGTCGGGGAGAGAATCACAAAGTGTAGGGTTGGCAGCCTAGGGGCGCAAGGAAGAAATGGAGGTGAGGCAGATGAGAACTGGTGGGGAGGAGGAGGTGACGGGAAATGAGCTTGTGGCCCAGAGTAACCTGCTCCGAGGGCCAGGTGAGAGGTGGTCGGCATGACGGGAGGTTCTTCTAGCATCGGGTGCACGAGGCATTTGGGCACACCAGGACACCACGACACTGACACTGACCGCGCTTGGCGGGCCTGGAGGCTGACAGCGCACCAGGCGAGACTTCGAGAGCCTCCGACAGAGGCGGGGGGAGCGGAGGCAGGACAGCAGAGCGATGGGAGGAGAAAGGAGGAGGGATCAACGAGAGGCAGCGGGTGGGGGGGGGCTCACCTTGAAGTAGGCGAACTGCAGGTACTTGTAGGGCTCGCGGCGCTGGAACTCCTCGAGCAGTTCGCGGCCGGGCTGCGCCTGTCGGAAGGCGGGCAGCCCCTGCTTGCAGCGCCGCAGGCACTGCGCCCGCCGCAGCACCCCGGACAGGAGGCGCAGCTCCTGCAGGGCGGCGCTGCGGGGCGCGGGGGGCGGCGGCGCGGCCGCGCTGCAGTTGCGGTGGCAGAACGCCTCGCTGTCGCGCAGCAGGCGGTACAGCCGCATGCTGACCTCCAGGTAGCTGACGCTCTCGGGCCAGTTCTCGGTGCTGTACTGGTCCAGCCCGTAGCGGTAGGCCGACTCCAGCGGCATCAGCTCGTCCCGCGGGAAGCTGCGGAAGCTGTAGCGCTCGTACTGCGCCCCCGCCGCCGCCAGCAGCGCCGGCAGCAGCGCCGCCACCCACATGGCTGCGCCTCCGACACCGCACAGCACCGCACAGCACCACGTCGCTGCCACCCAGGGCCGGGAGAGGCGGCCCGGGCCCGGGAGGAGGGAAGGGAGAGCGGGCGGGCCGGGGAGAGGGCCGGGCAGAGGCGGTCCCGGGGCCGGGAGGAGGGAAGGGAAAGAGGCCGGGGCCGGGGCGGGGCGGTCCCGGGGCGGAGGCGGAGGCGGCCCCAGGGAGGGAGCGTGGCCGCGGCGGGGCGGGGCGCGGCGGGGCGGGGCGCGGCGGGGCGGGGCGCGGCGGGGCGGGGCGCGGCGGGGCGGGGCGGGGCGGGCGCAGCGCCGGCTCCTCCGGCCGCCCTCGGTGCTGCTGCACGGCCAGAGCCGGAGCTGGTGCCAGCTGCAGTCGTGTCTGCAAGGAAACTTCTCGTTCATGTGTTTTCCCCAGTGTCCGTGAGAATTGGGGGTTTTTTTCCGCCCACAGTTTAGGGGGTTTGTTTGGAAATTATATGTTCTAAATCAATCTCTTGTACCCTCCTATTTTTTTTTTTTTTTTGGTGTGTGTTTGTCTAGAAAACCTGTGACACAGGTTAACGCATTCATATTGTGATGAATGCGTGAAAAAAAACCAAACCAAACCAAAACAAAAAACCCCAAAAAAACCACCCTGGGCAATATTTCCCTTGAAACTGGGGTTTTAGATATGGTGTTTGTGGAAAACGCCAATCACTTGTTTTTAAAATTTTTAAAGTTTAATAGTAATAAAATGGCTATAAAAATAGCAATATAATTAGAGTAATAAAAATTTTGGACAATTTGGATTAGGACGATATGAGACAATAGAAACAAAGAGTTACAGACGTCCGGGCACCTTTTTCTGGGCAGCACAAGCCCGAAAAAGGACACCCGTTAACAAAGGATTAACCCTTAAAAGCAACAGCCTGTTGCATATTCATACACTTCATACATGATGCATAAATTCCATTCAAACACAGGATTCTGTCTGGTCAGTGTCAACTTCTTCCTCTGAATCCTAATGGCGTCTTCAGGGCTGAGTGAGGCGGGAAGAAGTTCGTTTCTTCTGATAATGCAGCAATCAATTCTTTTTCTCTGAAAGATTTAGGTGTCCTGTGGCTGCTATCTTTCTGCGAGTCCTTTCTTTAAAACAAGTATCTTACATAGCATAGTTTCTATTTTAACATTATGTTCTAACCTAAAACTATATTCAACACACTACTTAAGAGAATTAATACAGCATTACTTTCTAACACAACACATATAATATTCATTTTTATATTTGCCAAGAGCCAATCATAAAATAAGCATTTTTCACATGTTCTAAATCAATCTCTTTTACCCTTCCATTTTTTGGGGGGTGTGTTTATCTACGAAACCTGTGACATAGGTTCATGCACTCATATTGTGATGGCAAGCAATAAGTGCATTCATGTCCTAAAATTCTGGACATTATTTCCCTTGAAACTGGGATTTTAGATATGGTGTTAGAAGGTGTTGCAGAACTGTAAGTACTATTTCCAACTCTTGTTGCTGTTCGATGTTTGGTTTCCTGAGGAAAATTAATGTGGAAGAACTATAAGGGAAGTGATTTTGCATTTTTTTTGGATACTTGCCAGAAAAGCATACTTCAAATCTTAGCTATAGAGCTATAGAATGCCAACAGTGCGTCCTCCACTGGTTCTGTGCAGTGCTTTGGGACATTTTCTGATGTCCAGCTACATTAATTAATTAATAATCATTAGTAAGTGGGAAAAGCTGTGGCTGTAGATCCAAAGAATTTGAAAGTTCCTAATCTAATCAAGCAATTCTTTAGAATTGTTCTTTCAGTCTGACACATAGAGATTATTTGCATTATGACAATATGCAACCTCCCAGACTTCACAGAGTTGGACCAGCTGCTCTCTCTCTGCTGCTCTTGGTGGACTCATGCACTGATCAGTGGCGATCTTGGGGCTGGAGAACCCTCCAGCTTGGAAAACAAACTTGTGTAGAGCCATTTAAAATGCTAGCATGGCTTCCAAACTAGACAAATGGTGAAGGCCCAGATCTTTGCCTGTTCTTTTTTATTTTTAAATTGAGAAGTCATGGGTAATTAAAAATAAAACAAAACTCCACACCCCATAAAATAACAAAAAAAAAACAAAACAAACAAACAAACAAAAAACCCCAAAAAACCCCACAAAACAAAACAAAACAAAACAAACAAACAAACAAAAAAAAAAACAAGCCCCTGACTGTTCTGGTATTTACGTTTCCTTTAGATGGCATTTAACCCTGTGCTTTCTGGATCTAGTAAGAATAGTTCTCTATCCCTTTGCTTTCTCAGGCTGAGTATCAGTGCTTTTGTAGGTGTGTGAAGAAAATTATTTCTTAGAAGAAACTTAATACTTAGACTGTTTGTCTACATTTCTCAGCAGAGGCAGCCACAGGATGGAGGCTGGTGAACTTCTCCAGAATTCTTCATTGCAGTGGCTACCCTTATAGCAGGGGCTCTCACGAATTACTGAGCTGAGCCTGCCCTTCTGAGCCCAAAATCTGAGCCCTGCAGGTGCAAGTGCTGGAAATGTTGTACCTAAGTAGTAGGTTGTAATGTAATGTAATGTATCTAAGTAGTTGCTGTTATTTCACACTTCAGGCTTGAACGGCTGAGAAACCTGGAACACCAGATCCTCTTTCCTGTGGGGAGACAAACACCAAAAGCCAAAACCAATCCAAAATAAAACATCAAAGGTCACTGGTGTTTGATTCCTTTCCACAGGAGGGCTGAACACCAATGTGTCCCCAGCCAGGCTTTGAACCTTGGCTTCTTGCCAGCCTTTTGTGTCAGCTCTGCCAGCCTGGACTCTGCATTTTGTCTTTGCATGGAATAGGGATCGTTCTCCTGTTTTTCCTGGCACATGGCTGTAAACACTCTGAATCCCATTTTTAAACCTTCTTGGGTAACAAAGATGCAGAGGGAGCTTACACACCACGGGAGGAGCCCCCAGGAGGAGGAAGAGCCCAACAGTCTGGTTTGCGTGCGGATGTTGCTCACGTTGCCACCATTCCCTCCGAGTGCCTGCACTCCTGTTCCCACAGTCACTCCTGCTCTTACTCACTGGCAATTTCTGGAGTTTTGCTGCCAGCTGATTCCCAGAGACTTGCCAGTATGTTGCCAAAAGCATCAGCATAAATGAAACTCTCTGATGCTGTTTTTGTAGTCTTAGGAAGTAGGTATAGTTTATTCCAGGCCAGGGTGCTCCACTGAGATGCACACAACTTGCAAAACTTTTCACTTATTTCTACATTTTTAGCAAAGAAGTTAATATTCATTTGTTCTAAATTACACAAATTTTGCATCAATTATTATTTTGTCTTCTATTGGTTATTGATTTCTCACTTCTTATGCTAATTAGTCCACATCTTTTAGTTTTCTTATTATCTTTTTCCCAGACAGGGAGTCTCCAGAACATGCTGAATCCCCTTTGTTAGTCTCTTCTACTTCAACATGTCCTTGGAGGGCTATAAATTCTGGATTCCAGGTGTCCAGCCTTTAACTCCCAAGGGCTTTTTTCATTGTAGCTTATCAGGGTTAGTTCATCATAGCCTAAAGTTTTTGGAGATCTAATAATCACACTCTAACAATAACAGTCAGTAAGAAAAAAACTTAGGTACACTGCTAAAGAAAAATTACACTGCTAAAGACTAATACACTACTTATAGTTTTAAAAACAATTAATCAATAAGTTAATTAAAATCAACAATTAGGAAAGTTATCTCATTTCCAACAAGTACAGGCAGGAGACCACGGATGGTACAGTGGGATCTGGGGCTGACTCGTTCTCTCTTACTGGACTAAAACCTGCTGCTTGTCTTTGGAGCTGAAACCTGAGTGCCATGAGCTGCTAGTCAGATTCCCAGGACTGAGGGGCACCACAGAAGCAGGGGCTGCAGCACCACAGGGAGTACAGGGAGCAGTACAGGTTGGTAAAATAAATTAGGCAATACCCTGGCATCCACCCCCAGGGAACCCCATGGCAAAAGGATTTGAAATAGCAAAATGAAGGAAATGTTTACATTTGGACTGGAAAGTAAAGGAGCTTCCACGCAACAGCAAGTTAAACCTGGCTCAGTCCCCAGGCTTGAAGGGTTTGCAGTTTCAAGCTTATGTTTTGGAATTCTTAGGAATAAAAGATAAAATCCCACAGGTTGGAGGAAGAAGGATCCACGTTCATACTCCCCACCCACCAAGCAAGAGGCTGGGTTCTTTCCAAAGGGAAGAAAGTGAGTGCCTGGGTTTTTCCAAATTAATGCTGCATTTGGAACATGAAGGAAGCAAACAAATTTGGGTTTAACTAACAAAAAACACATTATGAAACTTAATAAATAAAAACCATACTAAACCATATAATAAAACATATTATAAAACATTATAAAAAACATATTATAAAACATAACCAACCCAAACCCTCTTACATACGTTATTCAAAACACAATTACATAAATTAAGTAGAAAAAAGAAAATAAATGTTAAAAAAAAAGGGCAGATGACATCTGGAATATGGCACATGACTATAAGTTTATGACAAAAGCAGATAGTAAAGCTCATTCATTTTTCTGTTCCATCTTTAAGTTCTCTTAGCCCCAAAATTCTTCTTTAAGTCTTGGCAAAAGACACTTCCTTGTCCTGCAGGTGCTGACTTCTCACAGAAATGTTCCTTCCTCTCATAGTGGCAGTCATCCTGGAAGTGAGAAAACAACCCAGGCATTTTAATTCCTTTATTTCTAATTCAATTGGTCAGTTCTACTTTTCTGAATATCTGTCTGGTTTGAGTGTGACATTTTTTAATTTCATTATTTAATAGAGGCAAAAAGACCAAACATAGCAACCCCTAAACTCTTACATTTACTAATCAATAAACCTTGCTAATAAACTAAGTAGAAAAGCAATCTCATGAGTTTCCCTATCAAACTCTTTCTACCCCCAGTAAACCCCCCAAATTAAGCTTTAATCCTGGGGAAAGACC